GTGGAAATCTTTGAAAATGTCTTAGGAATTTAAATTAATTGTAGCATTCATATCTATGCATAGACAAATAGTGAGTTTAACAGATTATTCATACTTTAAAAAGGGTATGTATGATTGAGTTCAAAGAATCATGAGAAAATTATTTACCTTTAGTAGAATTTGTCTATAATAATAATTATCAATTGAGCATTAAGATGACTCTGTATGAAGTTTTATTTGGGAGAAAATGTCGGACATCATTAATTTGGTTCAAGTTAAAGGATCATAATTTTATTTTCCAAGATTTATTGAAAGTGGTTGAGGATAAAGTAAAGATAATTTAAGATAATTTCAAGATGACATCTAATCGACAAAAGTATTAGGCAGACTTGAGACAGAAATAAATTGAATTTTATGAAGACGATAAAATTTTCTTAAAATATCGTATTAGAAAAAAAATCATGCAAAGGGGAGAGTATAATAGAGTTTAAAAGATCGGAAAAAGAATGTCAGACTAAGTTAACCAAGTGTAACATGTATTGGTTTAAGGTTGTGTTTCTTAACCATGTAAATATAGTAAAAGATAAGAATTTATTTATATGTAAGGAAACTTGAGATATTTGAATGATAGTATTCTCTCTAATCAAGTTGTTAAAGATAAGCATGTTACTTTTGAGATGATAAAAAGAGTATTGACATCAATTTCAAGATTGATATGAGTAAAATTTAGAATGAAATGTGTATAATAATTTGGATGAAGATGGTATAAGAATAAATGTTTGGTTTATGTTGTAAGTCATTAGAGATTGATGAAAGAAATCAACGGACTCATGATGTTGAGTGATAAGGATTGAGATTACCGTATGGATGGAACCTTATTATTTCCATGATGAGCGACATTATATTTATACGAATTTATAAAGATTAAAAGGTGTAGAATCGAATGAGTGAAAAGATAGAAATGAATGTAATTCGTTGTTGATTGAAAATAAGTTTAGTAATTGCAACCACGAAGGGAAAGTTAAAGATTTAAAGTCAGATAATGTTGTCATAGGAAAAGTTATTATTGAGTTTGTTTAATGAGTAGTAGGTTTGCAAGTAAAGAAAGATATCAAAATAGTTTTTTTTGTGACATTGTGTAAAAGAAATGCTAGAAACTATTAAGTTAGTTGAATAGAAATATTGAGATTTTGTATGGACGGATTGGATCAAAGAAGTTGAAGAAAAGTGAAAAAAAATTAAGATAGTGGATAGTTAACAGAAGTTCTATATATATATTTAAAGAAAAAAAATGGAATTTCTAGATAAGTGATAAAATATTTATTAATGTCTTGTTCCAAATAAGATTCTCTGTATAGTATAACTCAGTCCTACATTCATTAGACCTTATGGATCTTTAAAAGAGGTGGATCTGTAGTATAATATGGAAGTGCAAATATGATATAAGTAGACAGTTCCCATATATTTGTACAGTGAAAATTCGAGGACGAATTTTCTCAAGGGGGAGAGATTTGTAACATCCCAAAATACGGGTTAGTGATTAAATTGTAAAGTTCCAGAATTTGGTGATTAAAGTAAGATGATTGAATAGTTCAATGATTTGTTCAGAAATATTTCCTAAAATTTTATAGTAATTATCCAAAGAATTAAAGGGCAAAATGGTCATTTAGCATGAAAGATATTTTCCCCCAATAATATGAATGAATCACGTGGGAGAGGGGGTGGGGGAAAGAGTTATCTGAAAACTTTTTCTTCTTCCTTTCTTCTTCTCCCAACCGTGGATGCTAGGCAAAGGTAAGTGTTTTCTGAGTTATTGATTATTTGTTAAATTAAAGGTTAGGTTTTGATCATTAGATGATAACTAAGCTTAAGGAAAGCTTAAGTTGTCTTACAATCAAAAGATGAAGAAGTTATAATAGATTTAAGAAAACGAGTTTTTATATGAAATTATAGGAAAGAGTTGATAAGTTGAATTTGAAGCTAAATTTGACTTGTCATCATGTTAATTAAGGAATATGAAGTGTTAGAATTGTATTTAGAACATATTGAAATTTGAGTATGATTCTTGAATTACATATGAAGGATAGAATTTTGAGGTTATGGATGGTTTTCATGGATATAAGTTGGTTTAAGTAATGGTAGTTGAGTATAATGACATGATAGGAGTTTAAAATAGAAGAATTGAGTGAAGAATTGATGATTTTCGGGCTTAAAATACAATTTCTGGGCATAGGGAACCGATACCCTATGAAGGGGAATCGATTCCCCTTCTTGAACGAAAAATTTCCAGTATGTTCAGGGGGTATCGATTCCCTCTTGGGGGGGAATCGATTCCCTCTTGGGGGGGAATCGATTCCCCCCTAAAGGAAAAATGAAATTTGGTTCAATAATCTGGCTTAAGTTGTTAACATCAAGGTTAAGGTTTAGGCTTCTGATAGTTGTTTTGAAATGTTATATTTATGTAGATATTGAGCCTAAACAAGTTCTGGAATAATCAAAGGATTAGAATTGATTCAAATCAAACAAGGCTAAGGTGAGTGCAATTTTAATTGTACTTATATTATTGAACGAACACTGGCTTGCGACGAGTCAGTGATGGAGTTACTATGGTAAGAAGTGACTCCTAAAATGTTATTTGATTGGTGATTCTTATATGTGCATGAATACATGAACTGAGTATAGGTTATTATATATATGTTACATAATATGCATATGTGATATATGTTATGAGACATGACCAATGTGAAATGAGATAAGCTATGTGACTATATGAAATGATATATGAATATGCAATACGTGATACATGTGATATGATATGAAATGACATATGAATATGTAATACGTGATACATGTGATATGATATGAAATACATGGTTACACATACATGTGGTATGTGATAGAAGAGAAAGAACAAGTGATGAGAAATGTATTCATAATAAATGCCCATAGTATAAGATACGAGAGTTATAGGTATAGTTGGCATGCCAAGAGTCGAGGGTTACATATGTCCTATAAGACATATGATAGGTCCTACGGGACACAGATTACATCATTCGGGATGACAGGTCCTTCGGGACACAGATGACATCCTTCGGGATGATAGGTCCTTCGGGACATTTGTACGAGCTCTGGTGACAGCATATGTGTGCACAACCTCAATGTACTCACATACCTCTATTCTCAATAATATACATGGGCAACAACAACAACAACAATTGAAATATAAATTAAGTGAAAGTGATGCAAAAAGGTAGGTTTCATGTGTGCATGACTTGGTTATATATGTCATAGGAAATATATCCATGCATATTGAAATATCATGATCAACTGGTAAGAATGCATATTCATGAATCTACTATTACATGTTTATTTATTGTCTCACTAAGTCTATGACTTAGCGTGTAAGTGATTTACACGTAGGTACCAAGAGACGAGAAGAACAAGAATAGAAGTGGCAAAGACAGTATCATTACTACTAAGAGATCAGATCAGAAGTAATCGACAAAGTAGGTATTTTGTTGTGTATAAAGTGTTGGCATGTAATAAGTCATTAATTACGAGTACTCTGATGGAGTTTGTATTTTGTGGTCATTTTTATGTAAATTAATGTATTCTGCTTTAAACAAAGTTTTAAATTTCTCTGTTTTCAAAAGAGTTAAAATTTGAAAAGTCAATGTGACACCTCAGACTCGTATTCGGGTCGGGTACGGGTTGGGGTGTTACACCCTAAGTCCGAATCTGGTGCTTGTTTCACCAGAAAATGTCCCAAGACCCATGAATCTCGATTGAAAAGTTTCAGCTTTTCTCACTTTTGATCTCCAATTCGTGGACTTCAGAGCAAGTTCCAGTAAAATAAAAGGTGGATTCTTACTCAAGGTGTCGAGACAAAGCGACCCATGAAATTTAAGACCGAACGACCACTATATCTAACGTTTAACGATGGCGTCCGATCACTTTCTGTTTTTATTTTATATTTTCAATTATTTTATATTAAATAATAATTAAAAATATCACTTCATAGATAAATAATAATAAAATAATTCAAAGTGATCAAAACAGGAACAATTCGGATGTTCAAAGAGTAAATTAGAAAAATTAGAAGTACAATGAATAAAATAGAAGAGAGAGTATAGTTCATTGAGGAATAGTGCATTTTACCCAATAAAAAACAATCATGCTTAATTCATTTTCTAACCGACAAAAAGCTTTTTGGATCATTAACATTCATTAAGAAAATGTTTACTTTATATTCATTAAAAATAATCAATAATTAAATATTTTGATAAAATCATAGATCATATTCTTTAAGTAAAATTAAACTTTAAATTTTACTATTATGAATAGAACAAATTAGGATAAATGAATTTATATGATCCTTAATACAAATAAATCGATCAATATAAAATATGACAAAATTAACTAAATTATGGAATAGGAAAAAAATTCCTAATTAACGCATCCCCAAGATTATTTTTTTCAAATAGTCTTTTGAATAGTATCACTGGAAAGACATCCAGAATAGTTGACATCTTCATGAAGATGTAAGAAAAACGCTACATCTTCTTTATGCTTCCATGGCCAGTGTACACTCATACCTCCCCTTTCATACTCGTATGACATTCAAAAGAAGTCGGTTGATCCTTACATCTTCTTCGAACATACAAAAGACACCCTCTACTCTTTGTGTCGTTTTTGTACTACTGTTCAAAACACCCAATTTTTTAAAAAAATAACCTTTATGATATATTATATGGGGAAATTTTTTCACATTACGATATCTGAACAAAATCGTCGAATAAATACCAATAATTAAAATAATAATAATCATGAAACCAAAAGAATTATAATTAAAATTTTCTAACATTAGCAATTTTGAAGTTGGAATAGTTACATAAAGGCATATGACATTAATACTTTCAAAGTTTGAATAATTACATAAGAAAAAAATTATTGGTTGAAATATCAAATAAACAACGAAATTTCTTACCAGAAAACCAAAAAAAAAAAAAACAGTCAGAATCCAACCAGAACTCTCTTTGTTGTGTTAATCTTCAAAGCCTGTTTTTTTCCAGACAGCGTTTCTTACGCAACGCAAGTCTCTACCTTTCAACGTCCTTCCAATTCCTTCATGAACCGAAAACGAAGCTCCTCTTCTCCTCGCCAAATATTCATGAGGTGGGACCCTTCCGTCGCCGTCGCTTTCGTCGGCATCTTTATCAGCGTGTACCCTGTATTCCGCTTTAAGAATCTTGGACCAGTCGGGGACGTTGACCGGCAATGAAGCCGAAGCGATCTTTTGTGTCTTATGACCAACACTTATAATCTCCATCTTCCTCGGAATTTTCTTAGACGAAGATCGAGAACTCGGCAATGGCCTCTTTCCATCTTCTTGTGCATTCGTTGTTGCTTCATTGGAATTATAATTCCATATGTCTGCTTCATCGAACTCGAAAACGTCGTCGTTGATGATGACATTTGTTCCACTGTCGGATTCCTTGACTGGGTATATGTAATTTGGTTTTGACCCGAAAAAGATCTTCCTTGATGCCATGGATGGATAGGGTTTGTTTGCAAGAAGAAGAAGAAGAGAGAGTTCTGTTTGTAAAAATGTTGATCCATCTTTGAAATTTTATAGTGACGTAGTGGATAAGTTCTCTCTTTTGCAAGTAATTTAAAGTCAAAAAAATCACTGAGCCTATTTATTTATTTTAAAATGATTAAGTGTCGAAGTATTTAAATATTAAATATTTCAGAGTCTATATTAATTAGTTATGAATGTGAAATGTTGTTTGATAATGGCTCTAAATCATTCAAAATGTACTTCTGTGCTGAATCATTCAACATTGTTTTACTAAATCAATTAACACTGAATCATTCATAGGTGCGAAACAAACACGCTGAATGTTGAACGATTCAATATTCAACGCTGAATGATTTCATTAAGAAAAAAACAAACAACCCCTAAAATACAAAAAGAGGGGATTCTATCATGCTTGCATCCTCACGAGCTATTCCTGGGTCATCCACTTATATTTTCTCATGTTTAATGTTGTAAAGTACCACTAAAGTTTAATTAAATAATTACTTTAGTTTCTATTTTTTAAAAGTATTTTAACTTGTAATGTTTAATTGTTAACATTTCTTTTATTAATAATATATTTTTATCTTCTAAAAAAATTATAAGTTCCTTTTTTTAAAATTTTATAAATTCTTTCTCTACCATAACATTTTATGTTCATTTTTAAAATAAATAAATAAATTATAATATCTATTTTAAAATCAACATAGAACATAGATGAGAAATCTCAAAATTTAAGGAATAACAAAGATTGAGGTGATTAACTTTAGTAAAAAAAAGAAATAGATTTCCCGATTAACACAAAATAGAAAATATATTTATCATCGTTAAATCATAAGTAAATAATAATAAAATTATTAATAAATTTTCAAATAATAAGTGAAAGCATGAGATAATCACCCATGATTTAAAAACTCCAGCCAGGTCAACTTAGAATTACACATTCTGATTAAAAAAAGAATAAATAAAATTTAACAATTTTGAGCGCACGAAAGAACACGTAAGATTAATGAAAGATTAATGAAGCCGTACAAAGAATTAATCCAATTGAACCAACCGTGTGAAACGTGGACCAATAAGGGTGATCCATTTGTCACTCCACAACTCGTGGACTGTTGATATAGAAAAACTGTTGGATGCATTCAGTTAAGCACGTTATCTTAATCACAATCAATAAAATTAATTCATTTCAATTTTTTCTAAAATTAATTTTTTATCTCTTTTTATATGTAAATTACAAATAGATAATTATTTAAAAATTATTTTAAAATAAGTAAATCTTATTAACTGAAATTACATACGAGGTGATGAGCCGGATTCATATAAGAATTTATCCGTTGTTAAACACGCTTTCATCAGACTTGGAGACTAGGCTTTGGGACCCACTTCCCATCGCCACTTTATTAATAGATCAGAACGTGCATTCAGTGATGCGTCAGATTGGACAAAATTTTTCCCAATCTATGAATTTTGGGTTGCAAATGACGTGACGCATAACAACAACGAGGGAGATCACTATTGTAATAGAAAGCACACGTGTCGATAGTATGGCACAAATGATATAAAAAGGGTAAATCACAAGTTTCATACCTAAACTATTACTTTTGTTGTGTTTTGGTACTCAAACTTTATTTGTTTCAAATTCATACCTAACATTTAGTTTATGTTTTATTTTGGCACAACCGCCGTTAATAACTTAACGGTGATATTTACATATCACCATAAGGTAATGCCACATCATCATTGAAAAAAAATGTCATGTTATTAGTTATGTTAAATTTTAACGGTGTCTCTTCAATTTTTTTAACAACGGGTACCAAAATGAAATCTAAAGTAAACGTTAAGTATGATCTTGAAATAAAATAAATTTTTGGTACCAAAAATAGAACGGAAATAATAGTTGAGGTACTAAACATGTAATTTACTCAAACTTTATTTATATTTTTCGAAATCATATCTAACGTTTAGTTTTTGTTTCATTTTGGTACCCAATTACAGATGTAAAAAGTAAATTATTGTGTCATGAAAATCAACTTGTCGGAACCGTCTTTTGGTTGAGGCCCGAAATTGGGTTTCTACTTAGGAAAATGGATTGGGAGTCGACACCGATCATTTATTTTATTCAAAATCGGTTGATCGGGTACCCTATTTCTTACCTGATCTACGTCTTACCAGTGATGTGTCGGATTCAGGAGTCGGTTACAGTCAAGGAAGGGTTAACACCCTTGAATTGCCCTTTCGGTACTGTGTAATTTACAATTGTCATTAAGTAAGAAAATTATACGTTTAACTTGAAAGGTAAAACAACGATCCAAAATTACTTACCTTAGATTGATTGAAAACGTGCCTTTAAAAAGATGGTGATGTTAGATTCATAGTGCAATACAGAATTGAATTGAGTTAAAAAGTGTGTAAATATGGGAACAAACGGAAACGAAAAATAATGAAATAAGTAGACATAAGAATAAAGCAAACTAAATAAAATGGTAACATGAGTAAAAATATAACAAAATAAAAAAGAATAGAAAAATATGAAAACATCAAGCAAAGACAAATACATAAACAAAACGAAGAAAAAAAAAACAAAAATAAAATGAAAATAGTATATGCGTGATAATCAGTCGTGGTACGTTAAAAGGAAGGATAATAAATATGTTATACATATACGAAAAAACGAATAGATAAATAAGTACATATAAATAAACTTTAAAAGATCCACATTAATAAATAAATAAAAATGGAGGAAAAAACTATATATACAGATGAAAAAGGAAAATAATACTAATAATGATAGTTATGGTAATATATATATATATATATATATATATATATATATATATATATATATAATATATATATATATATATATATAATATATACACACATATGTACAATGTAATGAGATAACAAAACAATCAAATGAAAATAATTAAAATATATACATAGTGATAAGCTTATAAATAAAACACTAAACGTGTATATATATATAATGACAAAATATAATAATGATATAAAATGTATACATATATAGATTAAGATACTATGAATAATAAATAATAACTAAAAAAGGAAAAAAATTAAAAAATATATATAATTAAACATATATGATAATAATATGGGTTATATTGAAACGAAAACAAAATTAAGAGCACAATTCGAAAGAAAACTGAAATTTAAAGCGAGATTTAAGGGTAAAATTAAAATTAAAACAACATAGAGGGACGAAAAAGGGGATTCACCCCTTTAATAACAGAAACACGCGGATCTTATTGTTATAATGGGTCGGGTCATGGTACAAACGGGTTGATATAAAACCTAATAACTGTTCTGAAAATTCATTTCTTTTCTCTTCTCAACCGAGGCACCCCCACTCTTAACATTTCTCTGAAATGTTCTTAAAAAAATGAAGAACACTGCCGTGTTCTTCAACGAACCCAGAAATCGGCCATGTGCGCGCGCCATTCATCGGCGGCGAAACACAAAAAAGATATAATTTTTAAAAAATCCTTTTTCTCCTTTACTCAAAAACAAAATTTGTTTTTTGAAAAATGGCCTCCAAAGGGGTAGATCTAGAGTTGATCGCTTCGAAAACCCCCTCCCCGGGTCCTCGGTCAAAAACATTTTTTTTGGGTTCCTTTTCAACCAAAACACAGCAAAGGCACAAAACAAGAAAAAACAACGCGCAAAGGTATGAAACTTTTTTACCTTTCTTTTTTGAAATATTGCAAGAAACCTTCGAAATGCTCTGAGTATTTGGTTGTAATTTGCTAGTAACTTTGCTTGTTATTCGTATGAAAAATCTGTAGTCCCAAACGTTGAAAATTACATACTTTTATAGCCTTAGATTCGGCTATTTTTAGAGTCCGATTTGGACTTAACTACTCTTATTTTTAGCATTCTATTCTTATTAGAAAACTGCTTGCTAACGGATTTGCTGTTCGTGGCTGAGAATATCTGTCGTTGGAGGCAAACGTGCGTCGTTGGGGCTTGCTTGGGAGACGTGCTGCGTGAGGGGACCTCGGTGAAGAGGCTGCGGTGCTGATGGAGCAAAGGTTGCTAGGTTCTGAAAACCCTAGAGGGGTATACTGTGGACCGTTGGATCACACCTTGATCTAACGGTCAAGATGCATGGCGGCTGGAGATGAAAGAGCTAGGGTTTCCAAACCCTAGCTGATTTGGGTTCGGACTCCAGTTTGTGTGTTGGGTTTGGGTAGCTGACTTGGGCCACTACCTTTTTGTAACTTGTTCATCGGGCCTATAATAAAAAAATGAATGAATAAGTATATTATATAATATAACATAGTTTACAATAATAATTATATAAAATACTATCCACTGTCGAAATTTAATGTCTTCAGCTGCCTCTCTTTGCTCATTATCGCGTAACGACAATAGAGCAAAGATTAAAAGACATAAATTTCGTCTAATGTAATGGCTGATCTGTTAATTTAAATCACAAAATGCTTTCCTCGTCATGAGGTTGAGTTAGACTGGAAAATTCTGAGCACGAAATCCTTCATCGTGAAGTTGAAGCCGAACTCAGAGTTTTGACCAATAGCTCCTGGATTGTCTTCTGGTTTAAGGAACTTCGTCGTGAAGGTGAAAACTTGTCTTAAAGACTTCTGTATGGCTGTGTTACATATGACTCATTCGTCGCGAAATTGGGTCAATCTGTTGGTGAAGTTGGAATTGTATATGGCCCATTCGTCATGAAGTTGAGCCGGGGATTGGGTATCCTTCGTCGTGAAGTTGAAATCCAATGTAGGTTGCTTTGTTTCGAGGCCAATATCCTTCATTGTGAAGTTGAAATTGACTCTGAAACCGGAGAGTTTATTGACAGACACCTCTTCTTTGAGTTGAATATCCTTCATTGTGAAGTTGAAATCCAATCTGGAGATGGATGTTGCTTGTATGCACGATTTCCTTCGCCGTGAAGTTGAAACCGTGGGTGGCCCCTTCATCGTGAAGTTGAGCCTGGTAATTGGATATCCTTCGTCGTGAAGTTGAAATCCAAGTAAGTTGAATTGTTCCGAATCCAATATCCTCCGATGTGAAGTTG